GACATTACTGTTCTCCTGAGGAAAGAATAGGAACCTAATCCTTCCAGCCGCAGAGTTACTGTGTTTTAAACAATTTTTTTTTTTTTCAGATTAGATACTATTGGGATGTTTATAGGAGATGACTGTTTAGAAGTTAATTGTTTGGCACCTTGAGGTTTCTGGAGACATATGCCTTGGAAATAAAGGGTAGCTGGGATTTAAATTCTGGGATCTTCACCGGTAACAGTTCCAAATGATGCTTTGCATGTCGTGGGTGCTTTATGGTTTTCAGTGTCATTTCAAGTCACTCAACTTCTTTGTGACATGAGAGGTAGTTTCTACTTATTTTTCAAAACTGGAACCAAGGTCCAGAGAACTGACGTGACTTGTGGGAAGCTGCAGCACTTGGCTGAGATCCAGTTATTCTGTGCTCTTGCTCTTTCCCCCACCCCAGGATTTCCTTAATCTGGGGGTTGTTCTTAGGGCTGAAAAGAGCAAAAGCCTGTTTCTCTCAGACCTTGGAAACTGCCATAGTGGTCTCTCTGTGACAAAGCCCAGGTTTTGGAGTCCAGTTTCTGTCTTTTTTGTTTTTTGTTTTTTTTTTTTGTTTTTTCTTTTGAGACGGAGTTTCGCTCTTGTTACCCAGGCTGGAGTGCAATGGCATGATCTCAGCTCACCGCAACCTCCGCCTCCTGGGTTCAGGCAATTCTCCTGCCTCAGCCTCCTGAGTAGCTGGGATTTCATGCACGTGCCACCATGCCCAGCTAATTTTTTGTATTTTTAGTAGAGACGGGGTTTCACCATGTTGACCAGGATGGTGTCGATCTCTTGACCTCGTGATCCACCCGCCTCGGCCTCCCAAAGTGCTGGGATTACAGGCTTGAGCCTCCGCGCCTGGCCCAGTTTCTGTGCCCAGTTTCTGTCTTCAATAAGTTATTCGTCTCTCTGAGCCTTGGTTTCCTCCTTTATACATAGAGATACTAACACTGACTTTGCGGGGTTAGGTGAGATAATGCAGGCCAAGTGCCTAGCATATAGTAGGTGCTCAGTAAGTACAGCCTCGTCCCTTTGCTTGCTTGTCCTTGTGTACCTGTCCCGCAGAGTTGGTGTTACTTGTCTTGGTGACCTGCTTGTTGCAGCACCACAGACATTTTGCTGTGATTCCTTCATTCTGCTTCAGCTCACACCATTGATTGAGAGGTTCCCAGTAACCAAATCCCATTAACTAAACCCACCTAATTTCAGACCCAACAGCTTCTGTATCTGTAACGTCTCTTTCTTCTTACATCTGTCAGTGTCATATGCATTTAGTCCCAAAAATGCAGGAAGCAGCAGCACTCCTTTTATAGATAGGGACAGAGAAACTGTCTTCCTGCTCAGGCTCACTTCACATATCCTTGACAAAGTTCAGAGGAGAACCAAGTCATTTTTCACCTGGGCTTCTCCAGACTGGTTTTGTCTAGTCCTAACTTCTTTTGTTCATTTCAGATGGGAGGAGGTTGCTTCAAACTTTAGCTCAATGTTTTCATCTTCAGCCCACATCCCTCCAGCAAAATAATCAGCATTCATGTAGCCCAAGCCAGGGAGAGGGAAGTCTTTGTTCAAATCATCCCACTGTACTTGGGATTTCAGATAACCCAGAAACCTGGCAAACAGGCTTTTAAGTTAATAGGTTTTATTTGACGACATCAGCAGTCTGCGACATCAACAAGACATCAACAATCTGCGTGTGCAGGATTTTGGGTCTCCTCTCCCAGGGGTCTGTGTGACTCAGTGTGCCCGAGGGCATGCTGCTGGGAACTGAGTGCCTTTCAAGGTTGCTCAGCTCAGGGGCACAAGCTCTTCTCTGGGAAGTGGAGATGATTCTTAGATAAGACTCCTCAGCGGAGTACACTCATTCTGAGGAGTTGAGGACAAATCAGTGTCTGCCCCACCAGGCTCTTAATGGGAAACACGCCCGTAGGGTGTAACTGGCTGAAGCAAATGTACCAGAATGCCCGAATCCAAGTGAGAGATGTTCCTTTTGGTGTTTCTTCAGGAGGCTATACACATGCATTGTTGATATCCCGTTGCTCATTGCCCCTTGTGGTAAACCACCACTAGAAGTTTCCATCAGAGCCAGTATTTTAGCCAAGTGAGAAAATTGTTTTTGAGACTTTTTTCATATTCCCACTTTTAGATACCAAATGGTATCCCCAAGCATGACCACCATTTTTTTTTTAACTAGTTGTAATTCCAGATAACTTGTAGTTATTTCTAAAAGTTGTAGTCATCCTTAGAAAACTTAAGAGATCATGACCCATGTTGAGAGCTTCAAAGGAGCATCCTCTGAAGGCCGATCTTGTTATTTGGACAAGTGAGTAGCTATGTGGACCTTGTTCTTTCAAAGAGCGAGGTCAGGACCTGCCAAGTATGAATTGAGTCTATTCCTTGAGTTGGGAGCCGTCACTGCTCATCTGGGGCCTTGGTGAAGACATCCTCCCTGTTTGTAGACAATATAGTTCCTTCCCTGGGGCAGGTATAGTTTGGACTTTAGTCACGTCTCCTAATAAGCCTTCTATGGGTGTGGCTGAGCAGTGTAGAAATAAGGAGTTGAGTTGTTTTCATGTGTGTTTTCCTATTCTTTCCTCACTCCTTGCGCATCACTGCCCCTCGCTAATGTCCAGTCTTGGGACCATAACCAGTCATTCTCTAGCCCTAATCTGTTTATACCTGGCTCCCTAGGTGGGAGTTGTACCCTCTTTCCTCATTTACCCAAGGCTGCAGGGAAGTCATCTTTCTTTCCATGTTACTGGCTGGGAGTAGCCCCCCAGCCAGCTGGCATCCCAGAAACTAGGGTGGGGAAGAGATGTGGGGCTAGAATGTGCAGGTTTGGGGGGTGATTGAAGTTAGATGTCAAGATTGTAAGGTGCTTTATACTGCACTGATGAGATGATTTAAAAGCATATTTTTAGGCTGGGCATGGTAGCTCATGCCTGTAATCCCAGCACTTTGGGAGGCCAAGGCAGGTGTATCACTTGAAGTCAGGAGTTCGAGACCAGCCTAACCAACATGGTGAAACTCTCTCTCTACTAAAAATACAAAATTATCTGGGTGTGGTGGTGTGTGCTCATAATCCCAACTACTTGGGAGGCTGAGGCAGGAGAATCACTTGAACCTGGAAGATAGAGGTGGCGGGAGCCAAGATCACACCATTGCACTCCAGCCTCGGCAACAGAGTGAAACTCCATCTCAAAAAAAAAAGGAAGAAAAAAACCTAAACAAACCTTTTTTGTTGTTGGACCTTGTGTCCTGAATTTCAGCTTAGAGATAACAGCTGCCATAGCTGAAGCAACCTGAGTTCTTTTTCCTTGTCTCAACCTCCGAAAATCTGAAGCGTCAGGAAAGACCAGGTTCCAGGATGTTTTGGACATAGTTCTGTCTGGAGAAAGAGGGTGGACAAGGCAGCCTCTGGGAGCCCCTTTGTGCCCCTGATCGGGGAGTATCTTGCTGCATACAGCCTCTGCCAGCAGCAAGTATGGTGACATTTCTCCCTGCGAGTGGGGAGCAGCAACAAAAGTCTGGCTGGGTTGGAGTCTGGGGGCGGGGAATCTGGAATGAGCCTCTGAGCTGATAAGGAGCCAGTGCTCTTTCTGCCTGGTAGGACTTGCATCTCCGGCTGCCAAGCATCCCACAGGGCCCAGCCCTTTGGGAAGCTGGTGCCTGCTACGGTGGTCCTGCTGCTGGCATTGCTTGGAAAGTGCAGTAGTTACGGATACTTCTGCAGAGAACTTCCCTTGTGGTGTTGGATATTGGGCTCTGTCTCAGGGCACAGGAAGGATTGCTTATCTTTTGAGCAGCAGGGTCTTACAGCATATTTTCCTGGCGGAAACTAGGATGTTTCCTCATTGCATCGCTCTAAAAGTGACCCTGTGACGGATTTTCAGAGTGCTGCTTTGTCAGCTGCATGCTGCCCGGATCCTCCAGCTCCATCTCCTTAGGGTTCTTGCCCAGGCCTCCAAAGCAGATTTCCTTCACCCTTCAGGCAAGGAGCCTCTGTGGTCTGCCTGGTCTCCAGTGACCTGGATCCTATTGCCTATTGGAGCAGTGGACAGAACTTGGAAACTTCCACTTTGAGGAAGGACTTAGCAGGGTCTTGGCATCAGGCATCCAGCTGTTCAGAGATAGGTACTGGATTTGTGTGAAGGCATTTGTCCCTGCAGCCTTAAAAGACTGGCAAATGCTGGGGCTCTGTGGAGGCAGGTGAGAAGGACTTTTCAGTGGCTCTTGAGTGTTGCACTGAGATGCTCCCAGAGAGCTGGCCCTCCCAGGGCAGCTTCTCGGTGGGAGCTCCATGTTTCTGGGATGCTGATGGGGAAGCCCCAGAGATTCTTACTGGGGCCTAAGGCTTACTTCATTTTTTCCTGCTCTCCTGGCTTGGCACAAGGGGTTAATATCTCTGATCGCTCTATTTTGGGGCAAATGGAGTGTTCCCAGAATAGGACTCTTTGTTGAGTAGTCTATTTTGGGAGACAAGCCCCACTGGCATTTAGGCAAGGGATTCTCTGTGTGTATCTGGGGGTGTGGTTGTGTGCGCAAGTGATTTCTTGTTACTAATTATAAACAGCTTCTTTTGGGAGCCAGGGAAATGGAGGTGTGTGTGAGGGCATGGATTGCTCTTGCATGCTAAGAAGAGTGGCGCATCTGTGCATGCCCGTCAGATGGGGCAGTCGTCACAGACACCTGATTAAGAGTGAGTGTGGGGACTTCCAGACATCAGCAGGGATGACAGTCTGTGCTCCTTTTTTGGGGTGTCAGGCTGTGGAGATGTGGCCATCTGTCATCTTCTTAATTCCCTGAAGCACACGGGCAGACTGGCCATCACGGCCCTCTGGCTGCAGTCTGAAGTCAGGCAGCCTCCAAACCATGAGGGCTGGGTTGTTCTAAGGCCCAGCAACCAATTCCTACCTGGAACTATTCTTACTGCACTTCCTACTCTGCAGCTCAGCTCTTACTCACTGGAATCCCCTATTTGCCCACAGGCCGAATCCACGTATGTCGAAGCAGGACAGAAACCAAAGACCATCCAGCATGGTCAGTGAAACATCCACAGCTGGGACCGCCTCCACCCTGGAGGCCAAGCCTGGACCCAAGGTGGGTGAGCTCCTGGCCACTGGTTCCTTCCTTCCCCTCTTTTATATTTTGTCAAGCCCCTTTGTAACCAGAAGTCCATTTAATCTTCACTATAATTTTGTGACAGAGACCCCGTAAGAAGTGTTCTCCCCAAGTGACAGATCAGGAAATTGTGGCCAAGAGGGGTATGCCCCTTGTGCAACAAAGAAGGTGATTGCTGCCAGACCCAGCACCCATGTCTAGTTCCTGGAGCATGTTCTTGACTTTCCTTGCATCGTTGGGAGGGCCACATTTCTGTTTACATGTAGCTGTGTGTTAAAGAGAGCTCAGAGAGATTTGGAAACAGGAGGCCCTGAGGAAGGGTGCCCAGAATTTTTTGTGCTGCAGGTGTAGAAAACACTAGGATCAGGGAAAAGAACCAGCATTGCAGGGAGGAGGAGAGTGCTGAGGGTGAACCTAGATAGGAGGGGTAAATATCTGGAAATTGGCAAAAAGCTGTGACCGAAAATTAGCTTTGCTCCAGAAAGCCATGGAACATATTAGGGCCCACAGCTGCTGTTGAAAGTTGACTGAAAATTTTCTTTTAATTTTTTTTCTGTGACCCAGCTGGGAGGTTTGCCAGGTCTTGGGCTTGCCTTTTAATTAGAATGCTGTGGCCATGTGCACGCCTGTTCCCTGTCTCCTGGCTGTTCTTTTGATCAAAGGGTGCTGCCGTTTAGAGTGAGGCAGAGAGAGCCCACAGTCCTCCTAACATACAAGTGCTTTTTTGTGCCACCTTCAATTCCCTGCTGCTAGAGTTCAATCTGCTTTTTCGTAGATCATAAAGTCCAGCAATAAAGTCCACAGCTTTGGGAAGAGAGACCAGGCCATTCGGAGGAACCCCAACGTTCCTGTGGTGGTAAGGGGCTGGCTGCACAAGCAGGTGAGGACCCTGAGGAGTGAGAAGGTGGAAGAAATGGCTCTGGCTGAGTTCTCTCCCTTCCTAGGCCCCAGGAAGCTAGGAACAGGCACCTAAGCTTTCTGTTCCTGAGTTTCTCTGAGGCAGCTGGATTCTACCTGCTGTGCTGCGTTATTTGCTGCTTGTTCTTATGAGTGCACTGTCTGCTCAATGGTTACAGCTTCTCTCCCAAAACCCATTTGACCACTTTGGCCCCTGGTGCTGTTGGCTGCCCTGGGGCCCAGGCCACAGTGTGGATGGGTCAACATGAATCCAGCCTTCCTGCCAGTCCTCCACCAGCACTTGCCTTCCTGATGTCAAAGAGTCTTTGTTATTATTTGGCTGAAAAAAATTCATCTTTTCCTCTCTCCTTTGTCTAGAATACATATCCACCTAGCATCTCAAATTCCAAATCAGCCGAACTCAGCTCATTATCTCCTCATTACCCTGGCCCACCATTTCCCTGAGGCTGCTTTTTCTGGATCTTAGTAATGGTACACCATTCTCCCAGGCACTCAGGTTAGAAACCTCGGCACTATCACCAGATCCTCCTTCCCTGACATGCATTCAGTCAGGAAGCTCTGTCAGTTCCGTAGGCTGAGGCCATCATTCATTGCAATCCCCACTGCCAATTGATTTGCCTGGGGTCCTCTGTTCATGGCTAGGCTGTGAGTTCCCAGAGCTAGAGACCCTGTCTCTCTTGCCCTCCTTTTCTCCTTGCCAGTCATTCATTCATTCATCTATTCTGCAAAGTGCCTGCCATGTCCTAAGTTGCTGAGAGCAAGTACCAAGGGAAAGTAACGTGGTTCCTGCCCTCGAGGAACTCATCAGCTACCAGGAGAAGCAGATAGCACATCTCTCACATGTCACATTGTCACCCAGCCCCGTCTGTTACCTAGCATAGCATCCAAAAATACCAGAGCAGCAATGTAGGTTTTGGTGAAGCTTTGTGGGAAGAACAGGAGGGCATTACGTTGCATAGCGCACAGGATAAATCCCAAAAGTCCTCTTAAAATCTTCCTTCACAGCTCTGGCCCCATGGCAGCTGTAACAGCTCCTGGCCTCTTCTGTTGGACACTCCTAGTACCACCCTCTCTTGCTCCCATGTGCCCCTCACAGCCCTGTCCTCCCTGTCTTGCCCATCTCTTTTTCTCACTTGAGTCATTTAACCCTCTGACTTCTTCCATTTGCATCCCTGTCCCCATTAAACAAAGGAGGCTTCTTTGACATATGGAGAGAGACGGAAGGATTTGTAAATAATTGCCAGCGCTTAGCAGCCCAGGCCCATTGGCTGGCTGTAACCATAACAGGGATCTGTGTGCTGTGGACACACAACAGAGTGTGGCTATACTTGGGTGGGGGGCAGTGGGGGGAAGGGGTGGCATCCAGAAAGGCTTCCTGGAAGAAGTGATATTTGAACCAGGCATAGAAGCATAGTTAAGACCTCCAAACAAAGCAAATATCATGTGTGAAGACCTTAGACATCATCTGGTTGATTTGCAGAAGATAAAATTGTTAAGTAGTTGAAATCATCAAGTTAAATTTGCTTTTAGCATTTTAGTAAGTGAAGGAGGAAAAATCCTCATGTTGTATTTCAGTTTAGAAATTGTCAGATTTTTTTTCAGGCTTGTCAAAAACTTCTGCAGAAGGAAGACTATTTAACAGCCATCTCTATTTTTTAAATAAATAAAAAAAATTTGGCTCGCGCTTACGCCTCAGAAGTAAGTAGTGGGGTTCCGCACGTGCACCTTCACGAGGTGAAAGCAACATGGAGGACTCGGCCTCCACGCCGCTGTCATCTTCAGCAGCAACTGTAACCTCCACCTCAACTCCAGCGGCCCCGACAACACGGAAGCAGCTGGACAAAGAGCAGGTTAGAAAGGCATAGGACGCTCTCTTCACACACTGCAAGTCCAGGAAGAACGATTATGGGTAGCTTTTGAATGAGAATGAAAATTTATTTTTAATGATGGTATTATGGAAAATTCCAAGTAAAGGACTGAGCGTCAGACTGCCCTTAACCTCATGGTATTTGATCGGATTTAGAAGATGTCTGTTTATTTACGAAGGATGAACCCAATTCAACTCCTGAAAAGACAGAACAGTTCTATAGAAAGCTTTTAAACAAGCATGGAATTAAAACCATTTCTCAGATTATCCCCTTCCAAACAATAAAGAAGGAATATAAATCCTTTGAAGTCAAGCTCCGCCTTATGAGCACTTTTGACTTCTTCCTTACTGATGCCAGAATTAGGCAGCTCTTACCCTCACTCATTGGGAGACATTTCTATCAAAGAAAGAAAGTTCCAGTATCTGTAAACCTTCTGTCCAAGAATTTATCAATAGAGATCAATGACTGTAGAGGTGGAGCATTCTGAAACATTTCTAAAAGTGGTTCTTGCAGTACTATAGGCATCGGTCACATTGGAATGCAGATTGAGCACATCATTGAAAACATTGTTGCTGTCACCAAAGGACTTTCAGAAAAATTGCCAGAGAAGTGGGAAAGCGTGAAACTCCTGTTTGTGAAAACTGAGAAACCGGCTGCTCTTCCCATCTTTTTCTCATTTGTCAGCAATTGGGATGAAGCCAACAAAAAATCTATGCTTAATAAGAAGAAAAAAGAGGCAAGGAAAAAACGAAGAGAAAGAAATTATGAAAAACAAAAGGAGAGCAACAAAATCAGAAAGAAGAAACAGCAGGCTAGGAAGCCTGCATCAGTCCTTAGTAAAGACACTGTGGCACCTGAAAGTGGTGACGCTACAGTGACGAAACCTGAATCGAAGAAGGAGCAGACCCCAGAGCATGGGAAGAAAAGGCGTGGCAAAGGAGAAACCCAAGTTCAAGTGGCACATGACTCCGAAGATGAAATTCCACAGCTGGTACCAATAGGAAAGACTTCAGCTAAGGAGAATAGAGATTCAAAAACATGCCACAGGAAAGAAGTCTCCAACAAAGAGTCCTATTCCCAGCACACCTCATGGGAAGAAAAGAAAGGCCTTGCCAGCATCTGAGACCCCTGAAGCTGCAGAGTCTGAGACCCCAGAGAACGGCCCATGGGAGAAGCCAAAAATCAAAGAGGTAGTGAAGGAAAATAATCCTTCGCTAGGGAAAAAAGATGTGAGACAGACTCCTAAAAAGCCAGAGGCCAGGTTCTTCACCACTCCTAGTAAATCTGCAAGAAAAGCTTCCCACACCCCCAAAAAACGGCCCCCAAAAACCAAAGTACCCCAGTCAACCTAAAATCAGTGATTCAACCAGAAGGGAACCTCAGAGCTGCCCTCAGAGCTTATTAGAAATACTCAGGTCCTAACCCCATTGGCAGCCTTCTCCAAGCGTGAGGCCTAGACTTAAAGATTTTCTAAAAACTTCCATACATAATTCTGACATATGTTCCTGGGTATAGTAATCTATTTTTAAATTGTCCTTCTGTGTGTTTGCTAGAAGAAATATAGAGTGCTTCTCTATGGTTGTCCAGCACTTTGGGAAGCCAAGGTGGGAGTATTATTTGAGCCCAGGAGTGTGAAACCAGCCTGGGCAACATGTGAAATCCCATTTCTACAAGAGAAAAAAAAATGGTGGCATGTACCTGTGCTCCCAGCTACTCAGGAGGCTGAGGTGGAAAGATCAAGTGAGCACAGGAAGTCAAGGCTGCAGTGAGCCATGATCACACCACTGTGCTCCAGCCTGGGTGACAGTGTGAGACTGTCTCCGGAAAAAAAAAAAAAAAAAAAAAAAAAGTATAGCATTGCTTTGCTTCTGAGTATACATACTGTTGGCTTTCTGTATCACGTGAGTCTGACTCGAGGTCTCTGATGTGACCCTTTTCCTCATCTACTCAACCATCACATGGACTCCATCACACTCTTTTATCTTCATTCCCAAAGTGACCCAGTGAGAGCCTTGACGCATGAGAATCAGCTGCTGAATTTAGGAGAAACACCAGTTTCTTGGCCCCCATGCTAAGCCTGTTGGTCTAAGCTTATAAGTTACTGGATGAGCATGCATATGGGAAGGGAAATTAACTCATTTATACAGCTACTGAATTGAAACCTACCTACAGGAGGCAAGAACATGATTTATGTTCCATAAGCCTTCCCCTCTTGTTACTCCTCAGTCCATACAGATTTGCTTATGTATGACAACTCTAAGGAAACTTGGGAGTGTAGACTTTTTTGTTTTTGTTTTTGTTTTCTTTTTTTTGGCAGAATTTCACTCTTGTTGCCCAGGCTGGAGTTCAATGGCGCAATCTCGGCTCACGACAACCTCTGCCTCCTGGGTTCAAATGATTCTCCTGCTTCAGCCTCCCGAGTAGTTGGGATTACAGGCATGCGCGTCCATTCCCAGCTAATTTTGTGTTTTTAGTAGAGATGGGGTTTTTCCATGTTGGTCAGGCTGGTTTCGAACTTGACCTCAGGAGATGTGTCCTCCTCAGCCTCCCAAAGTGCTGGGATTGCTGGCATGAGCTGCCCTGTCCAGTCAAGAGAAGCCTATTATTGTTTGTACAATTGTCAAATATATTCTGAGGCAGTAAACAATTTTTTAGGTACTCAGCCTTTCACTGGTTGTGAATAGGTATGCATCCATACTGAGTCATAGATTCACTGCAGTGCAGAAATATGCTTGCATGCAAAAGGCTGAAGTGGGGCATGCTTTCAAAGATCATGTGGGTGTCGGGTGTCTTGGCTTACATCTGTGATCCGAGCACTTTGGGAAGCTGGGTGGATTGCTTGACCCCTAGAGTTTGAGACCATCCTGGGCAACATGGAAAACCTCATCTCTACCAAGAATTAGCTGGATGGGGTGGCATGTGCCTGTGGTCCCAGATACTTGGGAGGATGAGATGGGAGGATTTCTTGAACCTTGGGTGGTAAAGGCTGCAATGAGTCATGATCATGACCCTGCACTTCAGTCTGGGCAAGAAAGAGACAGAATCCTGGCCCCGTTTCCAAAAAAAGATGTTGGGCATGGTGGCTTGCATCTGTAATCCCAGCCAAGGCAGGCAGATCACTTGAGGCCAGGAGTTCCAAGACCAGCCTGGTTAACATGGTGAAACCTGTCTCTACTGAAAATACAAAAACTAACTGGGCAGGGGGACAGGCACCTGTAATCCCAGCTACTTGGGAGGCTGAAGCAGGAGAATCACTTGAACTCAGGAGGTCGAGGTTGCAGTGAGCTAGAGATCGCACCACTGCATTCCAGCCTGGGCAGCAGAGCAAAACTGAAAAAAAATAAATAAAAGAAAATAAAAGAAAACAGATGTGTAGGTCTCCCTCAAGTTAGAAGAGTCTGGGCAGTGGGGGATATGGTCCTACTCTGTTGCCCAGGCTGGAGGGCAGTAGTGCCATCAGCTTCAGTCTCAATTTCATAGGCTCAAGGCAATCCTCCCATCTCAGCCTCCCAAGTAGCTATAACTACCGGGGCATGCCATTACACCAGGCCAATTTTTATATCTTTTGTAGAGAGAGTTTTTCCCTTTATTCCCCAGGCTGATCTCAAACTCCTAAGCTCAAGTGATCCTCCCACCTCAGCCTCCCCAAAATGCTCAGATTACAGCCATGAGGCACCATGCCAACCTGCCTTTGCCGTTTTTTGTTTGTTTGTTTTGGTTTTTTTTTTTTTTTTTTTTTTGAGATGGAGTTTGACTCTTGTTACCCAGGCTGGAGTACAATGGCACAATCTTGGCTCACCACAACCTCCGCCTCCTGGGTTCAAGCAATTCTCCTGCCTCAGCCTCCCGAGTAGCTGGGACTATAGGCACGCGCCACCATGCCCAACTAATTTTTGTATTTTTAGTAGAGATGTGGTTTCACCTTGTTTACCAGGATGGTCTTGATCTCTTGACCTCGTGATCCACCCACCTCGGCCTCCCAAAGTGCTGGGATTATAGGCGTGAGCTACCATGCCCGGCCTGTTTTTTTTTTTTTTGAGATGGAGTCTTGCTCTGTCACCAGACAAGTGCAGTGGTGCGATCTCAGCTCACTGCAGGCTCAACCTCCCTGGTGTTCAAGCGATTCCCCTGCCTCAGCCTCCCAAGTAGCTGAGACTACAGGTGTGCACCACCATGCCTGTCTAATTTTTTGTATTTTAGTAGAGATAGGGTTTCATCATGTTGGCCAAGATGGTCTCAATCTCTTGACTTTGTGATCTGGCCGCCTCAGCCTCCCAAAGGGCTGGGATTACAGGCATGAGCCACCATGCCAGACCTGCTTTTGCATTTTGGTAACACAAATTTGTAAGGTTAACTTTTCAAATTATGAAAGCCTCGAAAATGTAAAATTATTTGTAATCCCACTTTCCTTTTGGGCTTCTATAGATGAATATACATTTAAAATGTGGGAGTTTAGCTTAATTGATTTGTTTTCCATAGAAACTAGGTTCTCTGAGTAGCTGGTTAGATAGTCTTGTTTCACTTACTCCAAGATCTGATTTGTTTGGGACAAACCCACAAACATCATGTCAGTCTCTTCTCTGCATGACACAATTTTCCAGCAATAGCTGTGTGGTTTTTGTAATCCTATTCTCTAGCCAGTTCAAGATTTTGCAACACTATGTGATTCTTTGCCCTGTAGTTGTCTTGTTGAATATGGCACAGGTCTTTACTTTCCTGCTCCTGCCTCTAGTTTCATTCTAATAATGTTCTCTGTTGAAGAAGCTGGCTTTAATTTCTTGAACAAGATGCTGATATTATCATCTAACATAAAGCCTATTTTATAATAAAGTGTTGACTAATGAGCACTGTACTGAAAGTTAAAAAAAAAAAATTGTGGCCAGGTGTGGTTCCTCACGCCTGTAATCCCAGCACTTTGGGAGGCCAAGTTGGGCGGATTACGAGGTCAGGAGTTTGAGATCAGTCTGGCCAACATGGTGAAAACTCATCTCCACTAAAAATAGAAAAATTAGCTGGGGTTGGTGGCAAGTGCTTATAACACCAGCTACTTGGGAGGCTGAGGCAGGAGACTTGCTTGAACCCAGGAGGCGGAGGTTGCAATGAGCTGAGACTGTGCCATTGCATTCCAGCCTGAGCAACAAGAGCAAGACTCCATCTCAAAAACAAACAAAACAAAACAAAACAGAAGAACTTTTTTTTTGGTAAAGATGGGGTATTGCTATGTTGCCCAGGCTGGTCTAGAATTCCTGGCCTCAGGCAATCTTCCTGTGTCAACCTCTCAAAACATTGGGATTAGAGATATGAATAGCCATCTCTAAAACTAAAAGACGCTCTGGGGTTTTCCTAGGTTTGAGAGAAAACTGACCCTAAAACATCTGTTTTCCTGCCTTGGCCATGTTTTTAAAAAATATTCACAATTATTTAAAATATTATTGATAAATACAAACATTTACATTTCAGATGAGTAAAGACAGATTTTTGTTATGAGACGATTTGATAGCAAAAATAATCCAAATCCTTTTCTATTGAATGGAAGGAAGACATAACAGCAGAATCCATCCTATATGGCACAGAACGGAGCATAATCTAATGAGAACTTTGCCTCACTTAATTCACTTAAACTCTTTTCAATACTATGTAAATTCAGTTTTCCAGTTAGCATAAATGAAGATATTTTATAGCATAGCTACCTAAATAAGAAACAACAACAGGCCGGGCGCGGTGGCTCAAGCCTGTAATCCCAGCACTTTGGGAGGCCGAGGCGAGTGGATCACGAGGTCAAGAGATCGAGACCATCCTAGTCAACATGGTGAAACCCCGTCTCTACTAAAAATACAAAAAATTAGCTGGGCATGGTGGCGCGTGCCTGTAATCCCAGCTACTCAGGAGGCTGAGGCAGGAGAATTGCCTGAACCCATGAGGTGGAGGTTGCGGTGAGCCGAGATTGGGCCATTGCACTCCACCCTGGGTAACAAGAGCGAAACTTTGTCTCAAAAAAAAAAAAAAAAAAAAAAGAAACAACAACAAAGAAACTTCTTGTTAAGAGCTGATTCCTTTCTTAATTTACTTTCTAGAGAAGTGGCTTATAATATTATACATTAGTTTGTTTCTAGGAGACAAAAACCCTGCTTCCATAGGATAAACCATCATTTAATCTAAGTTCTAATGTTCTATTCAGAGAATAGCTCTTCAATAAAACAGTAATTTATTAAAAGAAAGTGAATATGGGGCTGGGCGCGGTGGCTCAAACCTGTAATCCGAGCACTTTGGGAGGCCGAGGCGGGTGGATCACAAGGTCAAGAGATCGAGATCATCCTGGTCAACATGGTGAAACCCCGTCTCTACTAAAAATACAAAAAATTAGCTGGGCATGGTGGCGCATGCCTGTAATCCGAGCTACTCAGGAAGCTCAGGCAGGAGAATTGCTTGAACCCAGGAGGCGGAGGTTGCGGTGAGCCGAGATTGCGCCATTGCACTCCAGCCTGGGTAACAAGAATGAAACTCCGTCTCAAAAAAAAGTGAATATGGGCAAATATTTGGTTCTGGAATTAGGCTTTGCATCTTGGAAGGGTACAACAGTGTGCCCAGATAGTACTCTGACTAGTTTTCTTTGCTTTGCAGGACAGTTCTGGGATGAGGCTGTGGAAAAGGAGGTGGTTTGTGCTTGCTGATTACTGCTTATTTTACTATAAAGGTGAGCTAACAAGTAGTCTATTAACCTGCCAAAGTGTTCAGTTTGTGGATGGTTGGTGACTTCAGGTTTACCAGTCCTAACACAGGAAGTTTAATCTGTTGGATTAAAATAAATAGATTCCAGTTTGCCTGCTACTTAGGATCTCAAGATTCAGGGTCATGTACTCTAGAGAGATGAGAAGTGTGAACAGTGATTGTATTTGGTAACCTGTCAGCTGGATTTATTGGATGTTGGTTGGGCAACTGGTGAATTGAATTGGCCTTCTGAGCTGCTGTGGAGCCTCAGAACATAAAGTTTTGGGTATGGTGTTGAGAAGGAAGTCTCAAAATGTAGAGAAAGGGCTTACTTTTAAGATGAGGCTAGACTGCAATTGGTGCTTTCAAAACAGTTCAGGGGGACTGAGAAGTGAATTCCACTGTTGGAGAATCTGAGGACGCTTTTTAGAAGAGAGAGAAGAGATAGGCTTTTAAGAATGGGTAGAGCTTTGCCTGTGCGTGGGTCAGGGAAAGATGGATGTTACAAGGGGTAGAAACAACGTGGGTGAAGTTCTGGAAGCAGTGGGATGGATGAGCCCAGGAAAGGTGCCCAGAAGGTTGTTCTGATGTGTTTTTCCATTCAAAGACAGCCGAGAAGAAGCAGTCCTTGGGAGCATTCCCTTGCCCAGCTACGTGATCTCGCCTGTGGCCCCTGAGGATCGCATAAGCCGCAAATACTGCTTTAAGGTACTGCCTCTACACCTCTAATGCAGCTGTTCTGTCTAAAGAAACTGTGTTCTCAAAATGCCTTTGTAAGAGCAATTGCTTTTGTCGGGAGGGGGAAGAAGTTAAGCTAGAGAGTCTCAAATTCAGGTTAACCAAGTTACAGGTCATTTAAACAAGAATAATATCACACGACCAGCACTGTCATTTGAATCTAAGCTTTAGAGTCATCCAGCCATATTCAAGTATTCAGACCCCTCCTTCCTGTCCCTGCCAGTCTTGTGGTTACCTATTGAAGCCCTTCTTAAGTTATCTTATCACCATACTCAGCAACCTAAATACCATTCAGCCATTTCGTGCAACTGGTGACCCCTTATAATGGGTTTATGTCCACTGTATTATGAAAACTCGCATTGAGGGTTAGGGGCCTGCATGTTGAAGAGGCTGCCAGATTTGTCTACTTTGTTTATCTTGCTGAAAAACGATTAGAATAAAATTTGGTTTATCTTCTAGATCAGGCGTCCCCAAACTTTTTACACAGGGGGCCAGTTCACTGTCCCTCAGACCATTGGAGGGCCGCCACATACTGTGCTCCTCTCACTGACCACCAATGAAAGAGGTGCCCCTTCCTGAAGTGCGGCGGGGGGCCGAATAAATGGCCTCAGGGGGCCACATGCGGCCCGTGGGCCGTAGTTTGGGGACGCCTGTTCTAGATCATTGAAGATTTCCAGGCAGATCCCTTTACCAGTAAAACCCCTTTGCTACTTGTTTTGTGACTGTACCATTTGGGCTGCATGAGGCCATGATAATTAATGGCAGTTTTGCCCTGTAGAACCTGTGAGGTCAGGTGTAGAGGCTCTTAGAAGATATGTTTAGGCTCAAACATGGGGTATCCTGAGGTCTTCTCCGTTGGTGGCCTCCACAGATTCCTTTACTGCAGGTGTTAAGATCTTGGGTCCCCCAGGGAAGGGAAGGGTGGGGTGGATTGAAGATCCACTTTAATAGCAGTTGAGGTGCAAGTCCTAGAGAGCACTGAAGCAAGCAGCCCTTGGTGCCAGTCGCCACAGGGCACAGCCCTCTCTTGCTCAAGATAGGAGGCAATGTCATACACTTCAAGCTGGAGTAGGGACTCCTGCCCCTACTACATTTGTTGCTTGGCCATTTCCCTGTTGTGCGTACAAGATGAGTACTAGACAGTAGATAGTAAAGCAGAGACTGAACAGAAATCATGCTTTCCAGCCACAGATAAAGGACCATGGGAAAGTACAAGGTAAAACACCTTGTGCTTATCTTGGAAGTTCTCTGGAAGGGTTAAAGCAAAGTGTTGGTCCGTGGTGTCCATGGTGTTAGCAGCCAGTCCTTCATCTGTGAGGGGATTGCAAAGTGAGAGTCTGCATCAGCACCTTGATCTAGCGCCCATGGTGGTGCCAGTGACTGGAAAGTCTGTTTCCTCTTCCTTTTATCTTTCCTTCCTAAGGAGGCACAGAACTGAGCTGATATTTGGCTTTGCTCATCAACAGGTTTGAGTTGTCCCTCTCTTTCCCTTGAGTGATGCTACTGAGTGTCACTCCAGAATTGCTATGGGTTGGTGATTCTGGGATAGTGCTCTGCGTCATGTTGCATGGAATACTGTTGCCTTACATCTTTGACATTTTAAGATTTGGGAAGTACTTTTATACATGTGACCTCATTTAATGCTCATGGTGAGGAAAGGGTATGAAAGCTTAAGAAACTTGCTCAAAGTCACACAGCTGAAAGATGACATAGGCAGAACTTGGCCCTGAATTCTGTTCTCTTTCAGGTTTATTACAGGGCTCCCACTTTGTATTATTTTCTCTTCTTCCTTGCTTTTTCTTCCATGTTTTATCTTGGTCATTGGCTGCACAGACAACCCAGGAGGTAGAAGGTGGTTTGAATTCACATTTATTGTATCATTTTAGAAACTTATTCCTGGCTCTGAAAACATTTTGTTCAGTGGTTTTCAGACTCCTCATTACAGCCTGAAAAATCTTCCTTAGAAAACTCTCCTTTCTAGAGTTGAGCACTGCCCAATTGGGCAAACAATTGGGATAGTGATGTTGTATGTGATGTTTTGGGATCCACATTTGGCATATGCTCAAAGTAACATATCATAACTATATATATTTTATCTTAACACTCCACTGGAGGTGCAAAAATAGATTCTAGGCAAACATCTTTTTTTTTTTTTTTTTTTTTTTTTTTTTTTTTTTTTTTTTTGAGACGGAGTTTCGCTCTTGTTAACCCAGGCTGGAGTGCAATGGCACGATCTCGGCTCACCGCAACCTCCGCCTCCTGGGTTCAGGCAATTCTCCTGCCTCAGCCTCCTGAGTAGCTGGGATTACAGGCACACGCCACCATGCCCAGCTAATTTTTTGTATTTTTAGTAGAGATGGGGTTTCACCATGTTGACCAGGCTGGTCTTGATCTCTTGACCTCGTGATCCACCCGCCTCGGCCTCCCAAAGTGCTGGGATTACAGGCTTGAGCCACCGCGCCCGGCCGGCAAACATCTTTAATCTGTCTTAGATTTCTTTTCTTAACATTTTTCTTAGAAAGACTTCACCAAGAGTGTTCCCTAAATCTTTTATCTGGAAGGCAGAAGGCTTCGTGTGTTTGGGGGAGGTCTTTGAGGTCCTTAGGATCTGAGAGCAGTGAAAAACTACTACCGACAGATCTGGTGGTGTTTAGATGTTTCTCCAGAAAGGGCAATGGTTTCCTGAGTCTGAAAGAGTTATCTTTTCATTTGGGTTGCAGCATCCTTCTTTTAAGGGCCAGAGGGTATGCCCTGGGGGTGCAGCTCAGGGTCTATATTCTTGGGCATATCAAGGAATACACAGTGTATTGTACTTGGCCCTGATACCTGCCTTTGATGTTGGTCTTTCTCTGTATCTAGAGCTGAAGTTCTCGTACTGTTGCTAGGGCATCTTGTCTGAGATAGTTCAGAGTATCTACTGTGCCTGGCCTACTTTTTAACCTTTAACTAAAATATAACATTTCTTTCAATTAAGAAAGCAGGTCACAATGTGTATCAGCAGTACCTGTGACTTGGTTACCAGTAGAAACCATAGATCCCTTCATAACAATTACAGTTGTTGCAGATATCTTGAAATATTATTTATGCTCATCACCATTTTAAAATCACAATAATTATAACATCTGCCACCAGATCCATTATGCAGTACATTAGTAAACAAACACTTGCATCACTATACCACACATTTAAAAAATAGTTTAAGAACTATATTTCAGTATAATAAATTTACCTTATTTTGTGTGCTTAACATTCTGAAAAAGGTTCATAGGATTTATCAAACTGTCAAAAGTGTCCATGCCACAGAAAATGTTAAGGTTCCGGCTCTAGATTATGAAGACATGCCAAGAGGCTTGGTTTTTCACTTATGTAGTTCTGTTTGATAAACTTCTGTTGCATGCTCTGATAGTCTATTGGATAGTGTAATAGGGATACAGCAATAAACAAGACAAAATCCTGGCCTTTGTAGAGTTTATATTCTCAAGTTTGCATCTGCATGTGTATTATTAGAGGATGAGAAGACAACAAGAAAGAGCTGCCTTTTTTCTCTGTCCTTTCAATTTTGTTCTTTGCGTTATCTGTCCAGTTCATGTCTTCCTCTCCACCCCTGCTGACACTGTTCTGTCTTGGCCACCACCATCCCTTCCCTGGGGAGCACACTATAAAGCAGGACCTAGTACATATTAAGTGCTCTGTAAGTGTTGGCTGTCGCTGATTCAGACTTGGAACTCCTCTGCAGCCTCCAGTTCCTCCTCCACACTGTTTCTAAGTTGCACCCTTGTTCAGATTGTATTCCCACCATAAGCCCTTCAGTGGTTCCCCACTGCTTTCAGGATAAAGCCAATCATTTTTTAATTTTTCTTTTTCTTTTTTTTTTTTTTTTTTGAGACAGAGTTTCTCTTTGTCGCCCAGGCTGGAGTAAGTGGTGTGATACTGGCTCATCACAGCAGCCTCTGCCTCCTGGGTTCAGGCAATTCTCCCGCCTCAGCCTCCTGAGTAGCTGGGATTACAGGTGCCCACCACCATGCCCAACTAATTTTTAAATTTTATTTTTAGTAAAGATGGGGTTTCACCATGTTAGCCAGGTCTCTAACCTCCCAAAGGGCTGAGATTACAGGTGTGAGCCACCATGCTTGGCCAATAAAGCCAATCTTGATTCACAAGGCCCCAGCTTATCTCTACAGCCACATTTTTAGCCACTCCTATCTTGTATTTCCTCTAGCCATATACAGTTGCTTAAGGCCCCAGGATATTTCTTGCCTGTAGCCCTTTACTTAAACTTCAGCCACAGCCTGGGATGCCCTTTCCCCAACTCTTACTTGTCCTTCAGTTCTCTGCTCAGGGTCACCTCTGGGAAGCCTTCTCTGAGCACTGTCAACAGGTGAAGTACCCTTCTTCTCTACTTCCACAGCTCTGTATCACTGCACTGTAAATGGTTGATTCACCCAGCCAGACCTTTCACTGGGAAAACTTGTTCATCGGCTAGTTCTGCTAGTCCCATCCTGTAGGCAGGGACCACAGGGAGCAGTCATGTGTAATGGGAATTGTGGTCAATGACAATGCTTATACTTCCCAAGATATGGTGGGTTCAGGCTTACTTGTATTTTGTATTTAGTCCCCTCTAAATTTGTGATGGGGAGGGAGGAAAAAGAGTCTTAAAGTTTCTAGAATGCTCTTTCAGCCAAGCTCCCTAAGTTGCTCAAGTTTACTGCTCCTTTAGTAATATCCACTGACACCTTTTGAGCCTCACAGTAGCATTTACCCTATAAGGCCATGTGAGGATGAAATGAGACAATACATATACAGTGCTTAGAGCACACCCTAAGCACTGTATATGTATTGTCTCATTTCATCCTCACATGGCCTTATAGGGTAAATGCTACTTTTAGCCATGGTCCTATTTTAAAGATGAAGAAACAAAGGGATGAGAAGGTTGAGTAATTTACCCAGAGTTACCCAGTGGACAAGAGGCA